ATTATAACACAACGGGTTCTCTTCATGACCAACCCAATGCACTGAAATGAAAGCCATGTACTGTCTGCTCCCGTTTAAATTCCAAAGCCTGGAAAATTCACTATGGGCCTTATGACTTACCCAGTAACAGCCAAAATAGCTTAAAACCAGTCTGTAACTGCCAGTGTCTGTCTTCCTGTAATTTATCTCAGGGACCCCACCCCGACTCCCATGTTTGTTTAATGATGGTTAAGAGGGATTCTTTTCTATTTCCCCCATTTCCGATTTTCTTACTTCCTCCTCCTCTTCTTCCTCTTCTTCCTTATCCCCAAGAATTTTCATTTAATCAAATACATAGCTTTGGGTGACTCTAAGACTGCCTTAAGGGTGGAAATTAAATTTGGGTCATTGGTGGAGCTTTAAGCTAGAGGATGACACAGATGATATACACTAGAATTGCAGACGATAAACACTAGAATTGATAAGAGTTGTGTTGGTCCCAGTTTTTCACTGAGTACCTGTGCTACAGTTAGGTTTTCTGGTTTCAAACTTTATGCATCTTTTAGTCAGACAATTTTATTCTTTTGATGTTTAAGTACAGGGCCCATTAGACCATTCAGATATCAGATCTGGTAGGCAGCTATCAAATGCTTTCTTCTCAGAGGAACTAGGCTGGCACCATTTGATATGTGGTTTTTCTGGGACATTATGAGACTAGGTTGTACGTATTCAAAGGAAGTATTTCTGAGTATAGTTCCACTGAGACTAGTGTAGTTTGTGAAGTAGACTAAGTTAAAGGTTTGAAGTAGACTAAGTTAAGAGGGGAAAGGCATGCTAGAACAGAGTGATTTACTAGCTGGGGAAATGTGGGTTGAACTGTATCTCCTAAAACCATATGATGACACCTTTACTCCTGGTGTGATCATGAACATGGAAAAAATATCTTAGGATCATTGGGACTGCAGGATAGAAGAGGTCATATTGTACACAGCACCCTAATCTTAGACTGGTGTTCTTATAAAACGAGTGAACTTTAGTCACAGAGGGACACACACAACAATAATGTCAAGCCATAGAATGGTGGTTTGCAAGTCAGTGGATTCTGAAAGTATTAGAGAGGCAGGCAAGGCTGGGGTTAGTCCTCTAAGCTAGCAGCTTCTGGCTAGTGCGTAATTCCTGGTAAAAGCAGAGATTAGGAAGGTCAATTTAAGCTACAATTAAGGCAAAAACAGTGTAAATCTGCCCTGGGAACAAACTGTTAGGAACGCCCCACCCCCATTTACTCATGTGTATGAGTGACAAAACAAACATATACTGACAATTATGAAGCATGGACTGGGTAAATGGTTTAGAGTAAAGTAGTTACCACACAAGCCTGACGACCTAGGTTTGGATTTTCAGAACCTGCATAGAGCTGGATGCAGTGACGTGCTTCTGAAGGGTAGAGTCAGGAGAATCCCTAGAGATGGAGAGAACAGTGAGCCTCTCTCTGTGTGTGTGTGTGTGTGTGTGTGTAAAGGGAAGTTCCCATAAATCTCCAACTGGCCCTTCTGCTGGGTTGATTAGAGCTTCCAGAAGCCACAGAGAGATTAGAATAGTGCAGGTCAAGGGCTGAGTTACAATCTATCTTGGCCTGTCTTTAGCCCTATAAATAGCCATTCCTGGCCCACTTCTGCGTGTGACCTAACATCTTGTGACTCATAGATAAAAACCTCTTGGAATGTATTTTCTTAGCTGACCACTAGTTTCTACCTACCCAAGAGCTAAGAATCTCACCAGACAGCATGCCTCTGAGGCTTAGTCTTCTTTCTTAGCTATAAACTGCTTCTTTGATATCTCTACCAATGAATTCGAAAAGTACCTTGATTTATGACGATTTGTTGTTGTTCTGTTACTACAAAAACTTCATAAAACTGCTTCCATATTGGAAAGTTGAATTTGGGGTAACCTAAATCTGTGTTCCCTTGCTTTCTTCATTGTCATTCTATTGTTTTGAAGAGACATCATGACCAAAGCATCTTATAAAAGACAACATTTAATTGGGTGCTTACTTAAAGTTTCAAGGATTAGTCCGTGACTATCATGGTGTGGAACATGGCAGCCAGCTGGCCATCATGCTGCTTTAGGAGTAGTTGCGAGTTTATATCTGACCCATGAGCAGCAGGCAGAGAGGGCAACTGGGCTTGGCATGAACGTTTGAACCCTCAAACCCACCTCCATAACAGACCTCCTCCCGCAAGGCCACACCCCCTAATCCTTCTTAAGCAGTTTCACAAACTGGAGACTAAACAAACATTCACCTCACAGAGGCCACCACACAGATGCTGAGCTCTCATATTTGGTTCTAGAGTAAACTGTCTTTCACTTTAACATCATATTTTTATTGATTGTTTAGGAATTTCACATAATGCACCTGGTCACCCTTGATCACCCTTGCTTCTCAGGACTCCCAGGTTCACCACCCCTAGTGGTCTTCCTCTAAAAAAAATAAAAATAAAAAGAAAAAGTCTTATGTGTGTTGTCCATATACTCACTGGAGCATGGTCAAACTCCCAGTGGCCAGTCCCTTAAAAAACAGTGAGTCCTTCTCCACCTCTAACCCCACCAGTAGCCATCTGTTGTAGAGAGCTACACTTCAGCAACTGTATCACGACTTTTAATAGTTTTCTTCAATGGCTTCCTGTCAAAGATACTACTTTTGGGGGGTGGGAGGTGAAGAGGTGGGGGAAATAGGAGTGTTATCATAGAAGCCGTCTATGTTTTTTTTTTTTCAACTGTGAGTCTACAATCAGCAACCACTGTAGAAGAAGCTTCTTTGTTCTTTGTAATTATAAGCGAGCCCAAACATGCTCACTCCCCCTTAGTCCACGCAAATAAATACGGGCAAAGAACAAGGGAAACCTATGTTGGTGATAACACAGGCCAGGAACACTGCAGTAGAACCACGGACTCAGACATGTCCTAGGGTGGTAGCTCAGGTCTCAGACATCGAATAGCTCAGCCTCTTTCCACCAGGTATGCACTGCTCGCTTCCTCCTTCCTTCCCACCCCTCACAGTGACATTGCAAACTGCAGTGCGTCACTCTATATTTTGTATCCACACAGCTCTACACGCAGACACTCATTTCCACAATTCCTGGCCTGGGTCACACCCCCTAGTCTCCGAAGAATGATAAACACCAAACCATTGCCAAGACTTCTTTCCTCACCACTATTGTTAGTATTCTGTCTAAACTCCACCTCCACAGTTACCTGGCAACAGCCGAGTCTGCTCCTCCCCACAGTTACCTGGCAACAGCCAGGAAGGCCTGCCCACCCCCTCCTCCGCTCTCTTGCTCCCTTGCTTTCCTGCTCTCTTGCCTCCAGCTTCTCTCTGTCCCCTCGCCCCTCCCCCCTTCCCTTACCCCTCTCTCCACTTGGTCATGGCCGGCCTCTACTTCTCTGCGCTGTCTCTCTCTCTCTCTCTCTCTCTCTCTCTCTCTCTCTCTCTCTCCCTCCCTCCCTCCCTCCTCCCTTCCTCCCTCCCTCCCTCTCTCCCTTCCTCCTTCCCTCCTTCCCTCTCTACTACCCTCGTGGCTCCCCTCCACATGCCCTGAATAAACTCTATTCCATGCTATACGGGTGTGTGACTGGTCCCTCAGGGGGAAGAGATGCCTCTGCATGGGCCAACTGAGACATCTCCTTCTCCCATACCTCTCCACACACCCACAGAACATACTCTCTATCTCTTTATTTTTTTTATAAACACAACAGCTATGCTTCAGGTTTTCATCTTCAATGGCAATGTTGTGCTCTCGGATCTTATTCTGCAGCACTGGCTCCTCCTCGAAGTCCATCAGCTGGTAGATGGAGTAGATGTTGGGGGTGACTGACTCAAAGAGCTGGGTCTGGACTGGGATGGCGTCTGAGTTGGCCAGGCCACCCCACTCCCTTACAGCGGACTCTTCTGGGGTGTCCACTCCATGCTGTAGTGGGCTCTTCCCAAGTTAACTATCTCTTATCCCCTTTGAGATTACATTTTTTTAAACGTCGACAAAGAGAGCGAGGAAATGAGCTATTTCTACAACAGGTTTAATCTGAGAGAACCTGCAGAAGGGAGGTCTTTAGATCTGAAACCCAGAGAGCAGGCTGCCGGTCTACAGACCAGAGGAAAGGATGAGGGACAGGGACCAAAACACTGCCTCCGTTGGCCTGAGATGACCCCTTGCTAGGAGTGACCAGGAAGCAGTGAGCACGTGAATGTTAGATGCATAAACATCTCTTGGGGCAGCCATTACCAGGGCTTTGAAGGATGAGGGATGGCAAAATCCAGGAAATGCAATTACTTTAGTTCTGAGAATGCTAATTACTGTGCTTTCCAGGAACTGTTGCCATTTTTCCAAAATGGAAGAACTTAAAAAAAAAATCGTATTATGGCCAGTCTTTCTTTTCCTTAATAATACAGAAGTGTATGTGCACTGTGCATACCCCCCACACATACACACAAATAAATAAGGGCAAAGAACATGAAAATATATTCCAAATGGGGAGAAATACGTGTGGAAATATGTAAAATCTTACCCATAAAGAGATATATACTCATACAGACATACATGTACCTTCAACAACCCCACATACACAAATGTGTATGCTCACACATATACATTAATTAACACACATGGGCACACACACACCCACATGCACACACATGTACACACATGCACACCCACCCAACTCCGCATACGCACATGTTTGCACTTGTACATACATATGCACACATACACACACAACCACATGCACACACTTACGTACACGCATATTCCAACATTCACATACACCACATACACATACATGCAGTTACACATACACACGCACACACGTGTCCAAACATGGATAATGTTGTACATGTACACATGTGCACACACACACACACCTAAGTAAAGCTATAAAGTATAGGACATACAAACATTTTCCTATTAAAGAACATTGAAGCAACATTTAATAAACCAGTAAATGCATGTTTGGTGGTCAAATAGTTGGAGTCATGAATGGAAACAGATTTTTTAATGTATGTTTTGAATATATAAATATTTTATCTATTATAATTCGTATGCAGTGCATTCATTTGGAAAATCACGGCTTGCTTCTTGGAATAAAACTCCATAAATATAAGGTAACTTCCACCACCATCTCTTTCTGTATCCTCCTCCCTTTCCTTCTCTCTCCAGTCCTCCTTGTGATGTTAAGAGACATTACAGATACCTGCTCCGGATTCTCTGGGTGCTTGTGTGAGAAGCGGCTCCACCGGTGCCATTACAAGATGGCGCTTGACAAAAGGCCAGCCAGGATGACTGAGCACTGCTTGAGAGAAAAACAACTCCATATATGGAAAGCTTGCGCTAAGAGGTGTGGTTGCCCGATCATCCCGCCTCACGTCATACGGAGTGACCAATTACCAGTGTTCTTGTGGCAGTTACTGATAGGAGCGAGGCAAAGCTTTAAGGGGCTGCAGGTGGTTGTGTGGGTGGCTGCTGGCAGCACGAAAGAAGCTTACAATACAAGGGTTGCTGAATAAACCGCTCGAAGAAGAACACTATTGTCATTGCCTTATTCAGCTGGTCGGATGCTGGGGAGTGACATGCTTGTCTTCTGCACTGGATGATTTGTTCACATTGTTTTAGATTGTCTCCTCAGTATCATCTGTAGGACTTCTATCAACTCTCTTTTCTCTGGAACCCATTACCCTCTTCTTAAAGAGATAAAAAGTTTCCATTTAACTTCAGAAGTACAAAACTGGGTGGCCTCTCTGTGTTGGTTTGGATGAGAATGGGCTCATATACTTGAATGTTTGGCTCCCAGTTGGTGGACTGTTTAGGAAGGATTGAGAGGTGTGTCACTGGCATGGGCTTTGAGGTTTCAAAAGCCCATGCCTGGCCCAGACTCTCTGTTTCTATGTCTCTTGGTCTCTTTCTGTGTGTTTCTGTGTGTCTCTCTCTGTCTGTCTCCCTTCCTCCCTTTCTCCCTCCCTCCTTCCCTCTCTCCCTCTATCTTACAGATTTGATGTAAGTCCTCAGTCTGCCCGCCACCATGCTCACCACCATGATTGTCAAGGACTCCACTTCAATAAGCAATCCCCCAATTAAATGCTTTCTTTTACAAGTTACCTTGGTAATGGTGTCTCTTCACAGAAATAGAAGAGTAACTAAGACACCCTCTTATGTCCATCACAGAGTGTGATCAATGCCCCTACAACAAAAGACAGGTTAATAAGAGAAGTGTATCACAATTCATTAATGTACACATATATGTGGGAGAACATGAGAACTCAGCTTGGCTTTCAAAAACAAGCAAGAAAGCAAGCAAGTAATGGCAATAAGATGTGTAAACTTGAAGACAGAGCCAAATGAAACCCAACAGTCCTCTTCATAAGAGACAGGGAAGTGGGACAGGGCTGTGGTTTTAGAGGAACAGTAACTGATAGGAAGAACCCAGAAAATACTTCAATGGCCTGGGTCAAAGCGTCCTTAGCAAGAGCTGTGGTGTTTGATTTTCAGTTTCCTTCTTTTTGGTAAGGGCTTAATCTTTCCTTTCTTGATCAGTGAGATTTCAGAGAAGAGACTTGAAAGCAGCTGTGCTCCTCCATGGATCTAGGCTTCAGGCAAACAGAAAATTGTGTAGAAAGCTCTTTGTGAGGAGAAAGAAGATGGAGGGAGAGGAGAGGAGGTCAGACAAACCTTTGTTTTGAGACTTTGTCTAACTCACCTGTCAAATTACCACATTTTCTGAGCTGTATATTGAGGTGTGATATTATTCAGATTTGCAACCTTTATATCTGTATCCATTCCTCTGCAGAGTTGTTTGTTTGTTTGTTTGTTTTGTTTTTGTTCTTTGAGACAGGGTTTCTCTTTGCAGCCCTGGCTGTCCTGAAACTCACTCTGTAGACCAGGCTGGCCTCAAACTCAGAAATCGGTCTGTCTCTGCCTCCTAAGTGCTGGGATTAAAGGCATGCACCACTACTGCCCGGCATTCTGCAGGGTTTTAAGATCCTCTGAATCTGTGGCGCTTTAAGCCTTTTTTTTTTTTTTTAGAACACTCTGTGCAATATAGTGAGTCTACATCAAAAAAGTACTGTAGAATAGTGAGCCTGGTGCAGTTTCCCCTCCACAACCACTTCCTCCATCACTGTGCAGGTTTCTAAGGCAAAGGCAGGGGTGTGGGGTATGGGGTGTGGGGTGTGGGGTGTGGGGTGTGGAAAGTATATTTCCACTTCTAGCCTGAGACCTCTTTTCCTTAGGTAGAAGAATTATTTTCCTTTCAACATGGCTTCCTCGTGCTTCTTCCTGAATTGCTCTTTGGATACATTGCACCTTTCCTCATTGTGCCTCATTAATCTTTTGTTGTGCCTCATGGGAGACTTCTTTGGTATTGCTTCAACCTTTCTATTAAAATATTTGCTTCTGCTATCATAGTACTGATTTTAAACAGCTTCCCTTATACAGAGTTCCTCCCTTTATGCCATCTGGGAGAAAGGAATTCTGGGAGAAAGGAATTAGTGGCTGGTTTCCAACTTATTCTGCCTGACCTGAAATGGAAGAGACCAAAAGTTAAGAAAGACACAACCGATTCAATTCTTAAAACTTGTAGATACAAACAAGATAGTATCGCCAGGCAAGAACTATCACTTCTGCTGGGCTGTAAGCAGGCCACACCTGTTCTGAGGAAACTGTTTTCAATATGCAGGTCTTGGGTATGAACCTTCTTGGAGATGTGACCTACCTGAAAACATCAGTATTAGGTTTTTAAAAAAAAGCCAGTATAAAAAGGGAAAGTGTGTGTGTGTGTGTGTTTGTTTGTTTAATATATTTGAGATAGAGTCTTATTATGCAGCTCTGGCTGGTCTGGAATGCCGTTTGTATACTAGGTTGAACTCAGAAATGTGCCTGCCTCTGCCTCCCCAGTGCTATGATTAAAGATGTGCCTGCTACATCTTTTTTATGTGTTAAATTTGAAAGAAAGATGGTTATCTGTCTATCTATCCATCTATCTATCTATCTATCTATCTATCTATCTATCATCTTCCTAATGTGTATGGATGTTTTACTTGTGTACTATGTGTGTACCTGGTGCCCACAGAGACCAGAGAGGTCATCAGATACCCTGAAATTGGAGTTGCAGGTGAGCCATCATGTCAGTGTCATGAATTAAACCTAGTTTCTGAGGAAGAGCACTGAAGTCAGTGCTCTTAATGACTGAGACATCTCTCCAGCCCCAGTAAGGATATTCTAAAGCAGCATGGAAGAACCCATCAATCCAAGAAAGCCATTTCAGAATGCTCTGTTTTCCATGTCATCTAGATCTTTGGAGTGCTTAGTAAAATGAATAGATTTTGATACTAGTTAAGGTCTCTGAGCTTTATGTGAGTTGACAATCTGACCCTTCCTGTTAATTCAGTGTCTCATTTTATAGACTCAGTATCTTCTCTTCTTTTTGAAGATAGTAAATGTTTTTAAAGGAATTCGCTCTTCTACTCTGTTTCTCTCCAGGTGTGTTCAGTCTGTTGGGATCTGTTTCATGTTCAAAGCATTTCCAAGTATCTACTGTTACAAATGACCATTCAAGTGTTGGTGAAAAAATTAGAAATATTTTTTTTTTGGTCCTAGAAGTCAGAGGTTGGACACAACTGTGGACCAAGGTGGTGCCCTGGGGAGTGTGTTCCTTTCCAGGATTACAGAGGAAATCTGGTTTTTGCCCTTTCCAGAGTCTAAAGGCTGCCTCATGCATCTGTTGACCTTTTTATCATTAAAAATGAAAAAAAATGTAAGTGCAAAGATTTATGATGCCAGAGGCTTCAGTCCATTGTCTCTGGATCCTGGTGATGCAGAGCGTTATGATAACAGGAATACATGACAGAAGAGGCCAACCACATGGCAGTGTTAGCATAACAAAAAAAGCCATGCAAGGAAGAACTCCTTCCAGCCAAAGATGAGAATCTTTGGGCTGGGTGGAGACCTGACATTCCACTTGGGCAGGACTGTCACCTGGCCAAGGGACCACCCCTAGGAAGATGGGCAGGTACATTTTAAGCCCCACTAAAGAGACAGACAAGATTTGTTATTCTTGAATGAGATATTGTACCTGTCTTTCTTAGAAGTTTGCCTTCTAGTGTAGTCTCTAACAAGCCACTTTTTTCTTCTTTCTGTCTCCTTTCAGATATTGGCCAGAATCTACCTGTGATTTTTGGATACTTCAGGCTTCCGTAATTGTTTTTTAAGTTCCCCTTCTCCACCACAGGATTTCTTGATGCCATGTTGAATGTCTGCATGCTGATAACTCCAACGGCATAGTTTTTCTTCTCCCTTCCATTCTCCTCCTCCAGGTAGTTGATGAGATTTATTTTATGGCTTGTCTGCCCTGGGATTTTTCTTTTAAACTCTGATTAAATTTGCCCTCAAGCTTCCCGTTGATTCAATTTTAAATTATCTTATTAATGAGGCTAAGAACCCCAAGAGAGGACCTAGAGTTCCCTCGTATCATCATGGGGGAAACCAAAGAAGATATCTGCTTCAAAGGTAGACCTCCAATAAACTACCTCCTCACCTCATGATCCAGCTCTCATTGTTGTCACATCCCAGTGATGCCACCAGATTAAAAATGACATTGATTAGGTCAAAGGCCTCATGTTGCAATCGCCTTTTGATGATTAGACCCACCAATTGGGGATCAGACTTCAACACATGAGCCTTTGAGGACACTACCTATGTAAACTATAATGCCTCGATTCCTTACCTGTGACCTCCTTCCAGCTTCAAGGCCAGTGACACTCAGTGGACAATGTCTTCTCTTGTCACTCAGCTCACAATGCTATCTTCACAATATTTCTTAGGACCAGTGTGATTACACTAAACTCCCGAGATAACTCAGGGTTTATTTACAACCTTGATTTTTCTATATCATGTCCTTTAACCTATTTTCAGGTCCTGTGGGTCGAGGCAGGAGCACCCTTCTGGCCATTCTTCCTCCTATGGGACATGTTTCCTGGATACTATGGTTTTGTAATGCAAGTGGGGAGGGAGATGGGAAGTAGTGCCAATTAGATAATCCATGGAACACCATTTCTTTTCCTGTCATATCTGCTTCTTTTCCCTGAGTGCAAAGTTCAAAATGAGAGTAAATTTTCCATTCTTATATCCAGGGCAGAGGAGGGAGAGAATCCAGCTTTGTGGGATAGAAAGGATATCTGAAGCCACAAATGATTTTTTTTTAACTTTTGTTTGTTTCAAATACTTGAACATTTCTCTAGAGACATCACCTTTGACCAACTTCCTAGCCAGAGTTGCATTGTTTAGCTTCGGAACATTGCGAGATCTTTTGAGCTGTTTCTCGTTACTGATTTCTAGTTCTTGCATGCATTCCAAGAGTTTATTCTGTATCACCCCAATGTTTTAAGTTTGCTATAATATGTCTTATGGCCCAGAAGTTGTCTGTACTTATGAATCTTATATCTGAGCCTGAGAAAAATGTGTGTTCTATCAGATGAAGTTGTCTGAAAATGTCATTTAGATCCTGTTGGCTGATGGTATTCAGTTCTTATCCTTCCCGCTTTCTGTCAGCTAAATTTCTGTGTTACTGAACAAGCATGTTCAGTGTCTACTCGTGGTGAGCTAAGCTATGTCCTTTGGCAATTCTGTGTGTTTGGAAACACAGTGTTTAGATACACATCAAGAAGTGCTAAACCTTGCAGAATTAACTCTTTAGACAGTGCTTCTTTTTGTGTGCTGGACACATTTTCTTTTCTTTTCTTTCTTTCTTTCTTTCTTTCTTTCTTTCTCTTAAACATCTTGGTTTTTTTTTCCTTCTTATTTTGAAGTATTCTTTAGTTGAAATTAATATCACTATTTTAGTTTTCTTCTTCAAGTTTTTAATCCAAAGACACATTATTAACGTTCTTTTTCACTCTTCAACCAAACAAACACTCCTCTACCCTCCCGTCCCCTAAATTAACAAGTTTATTTGGGGGTTTGGAAAGAGACACATTCCAATACGTACCAAGAGAAAAAGAAAAAATCTCCTTTACTGTGGCTTGCTGGTTCCATGTCTCACCTGCCAGTGTAACATTTCCCTAGACATTTTATAACTAGACGTGCGTGACCTGTGCACAGCATCACAGTAAACATTGTTTACAAACCCCTGCACAACACCAGCTCGTTTTAGTTCTGTGTATTAATTTGAGTAACAGACGTATATTTTAACTTTGAAGTGGGTAGTAAATGTTGCTAATGGTCTTGTGAGCAATTTCATCATGTTGTAGGGCAAATAGAAGAATTTCTTTATTTTTTACAAGGCAATTCCATAAGTAACAAATTCCCTTTATTTGCCTGGCAACCTCTCTATTGATGTTTATTCTTATAGGATAATTTCATTAGATATAGACATTTTAATTAACTAATTAACTTATTTATGTATTTATGTATTTATGTATTTATGTATTTATGTATGTATGTATGTATGTATGTATGTATGTATTTTTGAGACAGAGTTTCTCTATGTAGCCCTGGCTGTCCTTATACTCACTTTGTTGACCAGGCTGGCCTTGAATTCAGAGATCTACCTCCCTCTGTCTCCCAAGTACTGGGACTAAAGACGTGCCCCATCACTACTTGTCTGGGTGGTGACTTTTAGAAGAGCTTTTATTCTTTAAAAAAAAATCATTAAGAAATATTTTCATGTGTTTGCATGTGTTTATGGAGGCCAGAAGAGTGAATCAGATTCTCTGAAACTGGAGGTTATAAGCCATGCGGAGGCTGGGAACTGAACCCTGGTCCTTAAGAATAACAAACTCACTGAACTATAACTCCAGCCACGGCTTCAACTTCTTTCCCGGATCACCCCTTCTCCTTTCCTGAGACAGGAAGTTAAAGAAGGTTGAATTCTCTATTTGTCAGCTCTTCAGGGTCAGGTGAGGCTCTGCCCAAGAAGTTACTTTTTTCTTTTCTTTTCTTTTCTTTTCTTTTCTTTTTTTTTCTTTCTTTCTTTTTTTTTTGTTAACCCTATTCTTTGAGAATTTCATTATACATGAATAATGCAATGTGACCATCTTTGCCTCACTCCCAACCCCTTTAACAAACCTCGTCCAGACTTTTTGCCTTTATGTCTTTCTCTCCTTGTAAATAACCAACTAAGCCCAGCTAGTACTGCCCACTATTGCAAGAGGCCTTTATTATGAAGAAGAGAGTTCTCTGGTTTGTCTTAAAATGATTTCACTCCCCCCTGCCCTAACCATGAGGGGATTTTCCTGTGATCTTCTTCATGGGAACCGAGTAGGACTTCTAAATGAATCTCTAAGGGTTGTCCTCAGCTTCCTGCAGTTGGCTCACAGTAGTCAAAGTTCTTCTGCAGACTTCACTCCATTCCTTATCCCAGGAAGCTGCATTCATCTTTCTCTCTGAATGTTGATGGGGACGTTTGTCCTGTGACCTCATCTTTGATGGTTCTAAGAATTTGCAGCTTGCAGTTTTTAAAATCATTTTTTTCCTATTGTGAGAGCAGGAGAGATGATATTGATGTTACATACCAGTAGAAACAAGACAGACTCTGGGGGCAGTTGGTGGGTGGGAGTGGGGTTCAAAAAATTCTTTCTTGGATAAGTAATATAGCCTAGTTAAGATGCCTGCTGTCAAGCCCAATGACCTGAGTTCTCACTCTGAGACTCACATGATGGAAGGAGAGAACCAGCTCCTGTAAGTTGTCCTCTGACCTTCACACAGACTGAAGCACACATGCATACAACATATTATATGCACACACATAATAAGGAAATAAAAATGTAACTTCTTGCTGCTTTCATTCAGGGATCATCCTTTGCAGGACTGAGGCTTAACTGGGATCTAAGGGCAACTGTTCAATGACCTGCCACCCACAGGTGACTCTTCCTTCATCCCTTAGTCTCTGCTAGCTAGCTCTGAGGTACGGCTGCTGAAGACTCACTGGAATGTTTAGTTCTTCACTGCATGCTCTCCTGTCTCCCTTGATTGTAACAATACTCATGTTTTAGCCTTCCTAGCGTCCCACCTGCTGTCAAAGCATGAGACTTTCCGATCTGCAGTTTCCTTCTGTCTTCTGTGGCAGGGAGACACACCACAGTAATATCTCCAGCAACCTGAGGAGATCATCTCTCCCCTTAGCAGGCTCTACTTAAGTCAGATCCTTCACATGCCACAGAAATGAACTTCAGGATGAACCAGAGTAAAGTGAAACTCATGAGTTGGTGAAGTATTTTGAGAGTCACACGGGGGAGAGAATAGCACACATTCTTAAGACATAAGTGTGGGTTTTGAGAGAGAGAGAGAGAGAGAGAGAGAGAGAGAGAGAGAGAGAGAGAGAAGTACAGGTCTTTATAAACATCATTAATGTGGTCCTGTAGCTTTCTAAGTTGTTTTCCTCAAAAGAAAGAATTTATAGCAAGGTTTGAAAATTAAGCAAAGAGCCAGGAGGCTGGCTCAGTGGTTTAAGGTGCTTGCCTTTCAAGCCTTATGAGCTCAGCCTAATCCCTGAATCTCAGAGTGGAAGCACAGAATTAACTCCTGAGGACTGTCCTCTGATCTCCACACATGCTTCTCATATACACACCTGTATCCACACATGTACACATCATACATACATACATACTACACACACACACAGTAAAATAAAAAATTTAAAGATTAAGCAAAGCTGAAATTTTAGCTGAGGTTTAAAATCTAAGTTAAAACACCATGACTTATTTTTCCTATCAGAATTTCTTATTGAAAATGAAAAATATTAAAGTTTGTTTATTTATTTATTTATTTATTTGTTTATTTATTGTGTGTGTTTCTGCAGAGGTATATCCACATGTTCCACATGTTTGCAGGGCTGAGGAGGCCAGACAACTGCCTTAGTTATACTAGGGTTACAGGCAGTTATGAGCTCTCTGGCCTGGATGCTGAGAACCAAACTTGTGTTTTCTACAACAGGAGCAAGCACTCCTCACCACTGAATGATCTTTCCAGCCCCTGCCAATAAAATCTTAGGATTTTGTTTTGTTTTGTTTTGTTTTTGTTTTTCGAGGCAGGGTTTCTCTGTGTAGTCCTGGCTGTCCTGGAACTCACTCTGTAGATCAGGCTGGCCTCAAACTCAGAAATCCGCCTGCCTCTGCCCCCCAAGTGTTGGGTTTAAAGGTGTACGCCACCACTGCCCGGCCTTATGATGGTTTTATGACGTGCACCATCTAGACTTTGAGTTGAGAGAGGAAGGCAACTACAGTAAAACTCAAGTCCACAGTCATCCTGGCTTTGGGTAAATACATGTCATTTGTTGTTCTTAGCATTGTTGTTTGAGATGTGTTTAGGCCACATTGGTTTTATCAGCTGTGTTGAAGTCTCCCGGCTTTTAGGCAATAAGGAAAGCCAACTAGATCCCAGGGTGAGGAGTTCCTATCCCTTCTCAGGTCCTCTCAGTTTTCTGTCCTTCTGTCCATCTCACATCCATGTTCCCATAGTCTCTTCTGGACTTCTTTTAAGCCCTTTCATTTGAGAACTGTGACATGATAAACTATTAAACTAAGAGATATTTAAGCTGTGATAAATTCATTAAAGGAAGATGTGATTGCTAAGT